GCCACCGCGCAGGTTGCGCGCGTCGCGGCTTCCTCGAGGGTGTCATCTGCATCGACGGTTCCGCGATGTACCCAGAGGCCCCGTGCCTGACACGCACGGGATGGGCAGCAGTGGTGGTGGACGACGTCGGGAACACCGTCGGCGGGCTCTTTGGGCTCACGCCAGGCTGGATCCAGGAGATCGGCTACGCGGAGCTCTACGCGCTGCGCAGGGTCCTGGAGGAGGTCGGACCATCGCCCATCACGGTCTATACGGACTGCAAGGGGATCAAGGACGACTTCGAGGCAGGTCGAGGACGCTGCTGCGGCCCAGGCCACAAGTACGCGGACCTGTGGAGGCGGATCTGGCAGCTGCTCGACGACCTCGGCCCTGGGTTCCTCACTGTGACGTGGTTGCCGTCGCACACTTCGTGGGCCAGGGCCAGCGCTGCAGGGGTGCCGTGGCTAGCCTTCGCGGGCAACAGGGAGGCCGACGTGAAGGCGAAGGAAGGAGCCAGGCTGCACCCCAGGCAGGATCGGCTGCGTGAGTTGAGCCGCCGCCTAGACGCCGCCACCGTGCAAGCAGAGGCCTGGTGTGGCCACCACGGGGGGATCCTGAAAAGACTCGCCGACCTCGGATGGCCCGATCGGGGGGCCATCCCTAGGCCCAGGGGCGCGGATCCTGGGACCCTGGCCCTGGTGGGGCCCGACAGGGGCCACGCCCTGGCCAGGCTCGGTCGAGCCTGGGGCTGTTCGGTCTGCGGGATCCGTCGGGCTACCAGGGCCAGGGTCGTCGCCAGCGCCTGTCCAGGACTCCCGTGGTTGGTCGCCAGGTCCCACCCGTCCCACAGGCTCTGGGTGATTCGGGGCGGGGACGGGCCGGGTCGGAGGTCCTCTGGGACGGGTGGCTGTCTCGTGTTCTGTCGGACTTGCGGGGCCCACGGGAGTCGCCAAGCGAAGCTCCTGGCCGACCCCTGCGTCCCGCTGGCCAGCAAGGGCCGCGACGCGGCTCGCCTGGCCCGCCGCGCCCTCGAGCACCTCAGAGCGGGGCGGGAGCCCCAGACAGGAAGCCGCTGGGGGGCGGTCCCGTTCCCCGTCTCGAGGGCGGCGGCGAGGAGGGTTTAGTTTGCAAAGTTTTGGCACGGACTCCAAGGGGCCCTCCCGCGCCAGGCTCCCTTGCCTGGCGGGTCCTGGGTCTGCCGTGGAGTGTTTTGATCCCCGTTCGGGGCCGAGGCTGGTTTGCGGAGCGGACCGCCTTCTGGTAGGAACTAGAGGAACTAGAGGAGGAGGAGAGGGAGGAGGAGGAGGAGGAGGAGGGACGAGGAGGAGGAGGAGGAGGAACGAGGGGGCCTCTGCGAGCCGCGGCGAGCCTCGGCCACGAACGGGCTCCCTCCGACCACCCCGGAGCCGAGGAGCGGCCCGGGCCTCGGGGCCGCTCCTCTGTGCCCAGAGGTGGTCTCTCGCTCGCTCGCCCTCGCTCTCTCTCTCTCTCTCTCTCTCTCGCTCTCTCTCGCTCTCGCTCTCTCTCTCTCTCTCTCTCTCTCTCCTGTACTTGCACTGGTAGTGCTCGCTCTGCAGCTTCTTGCATGTTCATGCTCTCGGTGCTGCATTTCCACTAAAGGTACTCAAATCAAAACATATGTGGTCGCTCTCTCTCTCTCTCCTGTACTTGCACTGGTAGTACAGTCGGGGCCTTGATCTAAGGAACCCCAGATAAGGAACGAGGCCCCTCTTTTCCATGAGTTGAATTTCGATTTCGCATCGAAAGCCTAAGGAAAACCTGAGGCAAGCTGTGAAACAATCAAGGAACACCGAGCCCCTCCCCAACGAAAAGGGTTACTTCTTCAGGGCCCCGACTGTACTTGCTCTGCAGCTTCTTGCACGCTCATACTCTCAGTGCTGCACTTCCACCAACAGTACTCAAATTAAAACATACGTGGTCTCTCTCTCTCTCTCTCTCCTGCACTTGCATTCGTAGCACTTGCTCTGCAGTTTCTTGCGTTGACGATGACTTGTGTCTGTGTGGTCCTTCCCCTCCTGATGCCATTCGGCGGTGGACAACCCTCCCTTCAGTAAGCCTCCCCATCGTGAAAGCGGCCTGGGACCTTCAGTAAACCTCCCCTCTCTTGTACTTGCATTCGTAGCACCTGCTCTGCAGCTTCTTGCGTGTTCATACTCTCAGTTCTGTACTTCCACTAAAAGTACTTACATTAAAAAATATGTGGTCTCTCTCTGTCTCTCTCCCCTGTACTTGCATTAGTAGCACTTGATCAGCAGCTTCTTGCATGCTCATACTATAATCTCTATACTTCTACTAAATAAAAGTACTTACATTAATAACTGCGTGCGTTAAAAGCACGTGTTCTCTCTCTATCTCTCGCTTCTGTACTTGTTTTAAACGTACTTGTTCTAATCTTACTTGTTCTTCAGCGTCTTGCACGCTCATGCAGGTTTGCCTTCCTCTTCGACATGGGGCCGCGCGGCCCCGCTCGCCGCCGGGCCGGTGGCCAGCAGTCGAGCAGGGGGTCGACTGTTTACAGAACTGCTGTCCCCAAAGAACTGACTTGCTGCTCGAATCTACGACTACTCTGCGACAGCTCCATGCATTTGTCGCAGCTTCGATGGAGAAAGTCAATTCTGGGGTGCCTCAATTCTGTGGTCGATCCCCGACTCGGAGCGCAGCGACGGCGCGAGAGCGCGCCTTTTCCACAGAGGACCAGTCTTGCGCCCCCGCCATGGGAGGGCCAGCAAGCGCGTCAGGGACTTGGAAAAAAAGAGTTGGACGCTCGGGCCGTGGTCAGCTGGCCTTCCCTCGGCACGGCCAGAGGCGGGCACTGCGCAGAAGGCGCCCGAGCACCCCCACCGTGCCAAGCCAGGGCCATCCTGGCCCTGGCATGGTGTACACGCTCTCCTGGCCGAGACCAGGAGGATCGACACTAGGGGAACAAAAAATCACATAAGCATAAGAACTCGGAGGTCCGCGCGGACCTCCGAGTTTCTATGCTTATGTGACTCTCTGTTCCCCTGGCACACACCACCCTACGGCCCAGGAAGGACCAGGCCCTGGCCTGGCACGGCGGCGCATAGACGCCTTCGGCGCAGGCACGGGAGACAAGCATCGGCGTGATGCCGCACGGCAGGCGCTGCTCGAGTCGGACGGCGGCCGCCGGCGGACAGGCGACCTCCTGCCTCCGGTGGGCACCGCCCGCGGCGACACCGACCGCGGGAGAGCTGCTCCAAAACGGCGAGGCAGGGCTCGGCCGGCGTGCCCGCTCTTGCTGGGGGAGCCGGGAGGCACCGGCACTCGCTGCTCCTCCTCCCCCTCCTCCCCCTCCTCCTCCTCCTCCTCCTCCTCCTCCTCCTCCTCCTCCCCCTCCCCCTCCCTCCTCCTCCTCCACCTCCTCCTCCTCCTCCTCCTCCTCCTCCTCCTCCTCCTCCTCCTCCTCCTCCCCGGGGGCGCGCTCGGGCCAGCAGTTCGGGGCGAAGCCGTGGCGACGAGTGCCTCCCATGGGAGGTCCCGCGGGGCGAAAACGCAGGGGGGGCATCGGCATCGGTGTCGGTCTTGGCATCGGTACCCCGTCCGCCTCGGGCTTCCCGTGCCCATCTCGGCCGCGCCGAACCCGTGAGGGCCCCAGGGAGCATATCTCCTTGTTCGCGGCCATAGCGGGCGTTATGGAGGGGGGAGGGGAGGGGGACGGGGGACGAGGGGGGGCATCACGTAGAGCGCCCCCCCTTCTCCCCCAGACTGTGGTGCCGGACGCAGTGCGGCAGTGCGGGGGACGCACTGAAGGAGGGAGCGTTACGTCATAGGGGGGGGACCCAGGCCCCCGACGTCGGGATTTGAGTCAAAACGTCGACCCCCAGAGGTCTGGACCCCTTCCCCGGGACCGGTCTTTCATCCTGACTCCCTTTTTGACGGCCCCGAGGCCCGGGAAGGGCCCCCGGAGGCCGAACATCTCGCACAACCTCGCGTCGTGCTTTTTTTGTTGTTTGTTTCTACGACGCGAGGGGGTCGGGGAAGAGGGAGGAGGGGGGGGGACAGGGGGGCACAAGGCGCGCTCCGGCCCCGAGGGTGACCAAAAGAGGAACACCCTCGAGGGGGCCCAGCCTGCCGAGTGCAATGCGGCGCGCTCGACCGTGGGGGCCCCTCCTCGGGGTGCGGATGCACGTCGGCCCCTTCGGCGGTCTGGGGAGGCCTTCTCGGCGCGGGGAGGAGGAGGAGGAGGAGGAGGAGGAGGAGGAGGAGGAGAGGAGGAGGAGGAGGAGGAGGAGGAGGAGGAGGAGGAGAGGAGGAGGAGGAGAGGAGGAGGAGGAGGAGGAGGAGGAGAGGAGGAAGAGGGGGAGGAGGGAGGAGGGGGAGGAGGGGGAGGAGGGGGAGAGGGAGGAGGAGGAGGAGGAGGAGGAGGAGGAGGAGGAGGAGGAGGAGGAGGAGGAGGAGCTTCGGACCGCCGCGCTCGCCCGGGGAGGGGGCGCTGCGCGGTCGAGCACCTGGCCGCAGACAACCACGCGAGGCCTCCTGCAGCAGGAGCTCGGCCATATGACACCTCCCACAAGAACATCCAACCCCGAGTCCCGAGGACCATAGCTCTCCATAGCAGAATCACGCTCTCCATAGCAGAATCACCCAAGCCCCAAAAAGCCCAGGGCACCCTGGAGGCAGGCAGGATGCTTCTTGGCGTGGGTTTCCACCGTCGAGCCCCCCCCAAGAGGAGCCAGCACCACCGAGCCGTCGGGCGACGCGGGCCAGAACGTGCGTCGGATCGGGCTGCATCGGCACGGCGTCGATGCCGAGTCGGATTGGCCGCGCCAAGACGCACAACGGCGCCGTTCGAGCGTCGGGCCGTGTCGGATCGCTGGAAGTCGAAACCCAATCGGAGCAGGCTCGGCGAACTCAGCATCGGATCGATCGGATCGAAGTGGGCCCTGGGAGGGTCTGTCTGTCTGCCGCTGGCCTCCCCTCTGGACCTCTGGGCAGGCCAGCCGACCGCGGCGCTTGAACAATGAACGCAACCAGAGGAGGCTATGGTCCAGGCTCATTCAAAATAGCGAGCAACAGAACAAGGCCATCTACGCACTCCGAGATCCTTCAGTTCAGCGATTCTGCCCCCGAACATCCCCGTGGCACCAGGGAGGCCAGGATTACTGCACTGAAGGACTTCGGCGTGCTGGCGCACGGAAATCCTCGAGTTCGGCAGTCCGCGCCTCACCAGTAGCATTGGTGATACTCAGGGGTCGGATCGCTGAGCTGGCCTAGGGAGCTCAAGGTGCGTGCAATCGCATACATAATCACTAGCGAAGAGGAGATGGCACGGACACTCAGGCCGAGGGAAGCCAGGCGACCCAGCAAGTGCGACCGACGAGATTCAAGTACACCCTGCGAAATGCTTAAGAAATCATGGGTTAAGAAATTCATAGTCTCAGAATTTGAATAAAACCCACAATTTCCATTACAACCTTAAGATTTACATTGAAACGTTAAGAATAATCGAGACTCTGGCCGAAAACTTAAGTGTCCTTAAGCATCGCCTAAGGTGTACAGCGAATCGGACCGATGAGGGAAGGAGTGACTGAGGGAATGGCTCACCGTGCTGAAACGACGGATTAGCTCGGAGTACCGCCACACTCACAAGAGAGCCCTGGCTATTCCACAGCAAGACTCCACTGCCCAATCCCACTCCTCTTGCATGCTGGCCCAAATAAGCAACTAGAATATGAAAACATGAGGCAACAAGACACCCAAAGCAGATTGAGCTTCGGCCCGTCGAGGCATGTTTCTTCCAACTAATACAATCCCACGGCCACCCCGAGCGTAGGTAGCTTAGGGGTGTGTTTTTCCAGCCTCCTTCTACCCCTTCGGGGAGGGGTTCATCACTGTGCCTTATCAATCTGCCCACCACCTCTCCCATCTGCCCCCCCTCACCCTGACACAATAAAAATACAAAGTGCACGTTGCGGCAAAATCGGGATCATGCGCAAACAATCACGTTGCATTGTTTTTGGTGAGGGACGAAGGGGGTACAAGCATATTGCCTGCTATGCGCAGGCCCACCACCCTGTCCAAAAACAATCCGCCACCGTCCCCGTGGCACGAAGTGTTCCCAAAGGCTCAACCCTGTGCTGCTGCAACGAAGCTTTAATCTTTTTACGGGGTCGGACTCCCGGTTCCCCGGGCGCTGCCAGGCGCTGCTCTGGTACTGTACGGTGACCCTGCCCCAAACGACCTGGAGAGCCCCAGTGTCGCCATCGAAGCGCCCAAGCAGCTCCAAGAGCGCCCAAGGACGGCCCCAGATCTGGCACGTGGGCGCCCGGGTGAATCATCCCTCCGAAGTGTACCGCCTGATTGTGCGACGGTGTGCCTCGCCTTGTTGTGCATGGAAGCGGGGCCCGTCGCAAATCCGCCCGCCTGCCCCATGCTTGCGCTTCCTCGACAAAAGGAAGCGGTCCTGTGGGAGACGGGCCCCGAATCTTGGGGCCGTAGCAGTAGTAGTAGTAGTAGTAGTAGTAGTAGTAGTAGTAGTAGTAGTAGTAGTAGTAGTAGTAGTAGTAGTAGTCGTAGTAGCTGAGTTTTTTTCTGTTTGACGGTCCCAAGGCCCGTGGGGAGCCCCAGGGCTCCCACAGCGGCGGCACAAACTTCAGGACCCTTGTCCCGCAGGACTTCTCTCCTGCATGGCGAGCCACAGAGGAGGCGGACGAAGACGACAGAATCTGGGAAGGAGACGGGGAAGACCGATGACGCTCAGAACGCGTGTTAGCGCCAACATGATCGGGGAGACGTCAGACTCGGGTACGGAGGACTCGGGCTGGCCTGACGGGGGCCATCATAAAAATGACGAGACCCAATCTGAAATTTGACGCGGACTCCCGCTGCAGACATCCTACGAAAACGGGACCGTCAAAATCCAGGACGCGCTCGTCAAAAAAATCGGCGAACCCGAGTTGAGGCTTACTCGCGTCTTACGTTTCCCCGACATTAGCGTATGCTTCTCCACAGCAGCCCTTCAGCACGACGCAAGCGGGGCCACGAGGGCCGGCACAAGCAGCGCGCTGTCGGCAGAGCTCAACGGTGGGCAGACACACACACAGGGATCACGCGCGTCCCGAGGATCATCGGAAGCGGCGAGGCAGAGCGCGTCCCAGACTGCGCACGGTGCGACACGAGGGGACGCGAGGGAGAGGGGGCAGGACGGAGGGCAACGAACACGGAGGGCGAAGACAAAGGCCGAGGAGGAGGACGAGGAGGACGAGGAGGAGGACGAGGAGGAGGGCGGAGTCCAGGATGAGGTCGGAGCGCGTCACAGACTGCGCTCGTGAAGGGCCTGACGACTTCTGCTGCCCCTCGACCCGCGCTGCAGCTGCCACGGCTCGCCCTGGCTTGCTTGGACATCGGGCCCCAAGACGTGCGACGTCCTGATTTGTTCAATAGTTACGTCGCCCCTGGAAAGCCCGACCCTTTCCCCGGGGCCGGTTCTCCATCCTGCATCGCTTCTGACGCTCCTGGGGACCGGCGAGGGCCCCCAGGGGCCGAGCGTGGCGAGAAACCTGCCGGCCCATTCCTGCACGCCGCGGTCATGTTCGGATCGTCGGCGTCCTCGCCGAGTGACAACGGCTTGCCCCATGTCGCTGGCTCGGTCACCGCGAGTCGCCCTCGGCGGCGCGCGCGGGGGGGCGAGGGGGGGCGGCCTCCTTGAGAGGGCGGGCGGGGGCGGCCTCCTTGAGAGGGCAGAGGCCCTCCCCAGAAGCAGGAGAGCGCCAGAAGCATAGCCGACCACCCCTGAGATGGACCCCCTGGGGATCAGAGAGCTCGGGCTCCGGGAGGGATCGTAAACGTGTTCCGGGCGATCTCGGCATAGGGATGAGCATGAGGACGATGATGATGAT